TAATATGTCTTGACATGTCAACTTTTTAACATTTACTAATAATTCCAAGTTATTTAAATCGTTATCAATTGCATTTAATGCCTTTACGCTAAATTTAAACTGCTACTTCTTACGTGCGTAAATAAGTAGGTACACTTACTTACTTACTTGGCTGGCTCGGCGAACCAAAGAGAATATTGGCTTCCGACACGAAAAGACGCTGTTCGGGGCTGTTTCTTGCCAATTGGCTGATCGGAGAGCTCTCAAATCTTTCTGGACTTCATCTTGCCAGCGATATCTGGGGCGACCAACAGGACTCTTTCTTTTGGTTGCCTCATATATGCTCTCTTAAATAAGTACTCACATACTTTTTATTACATTTAACAGCAATACTCAATTTCGAATGTACAAAGTTCAAATAATGCTTAATAATAATAATGCACTGTACACACCAATGCCTTAAGACGATGAATTTTAGTTTGGGCAATGATAAATAATTTTAGTGAATGTTTTGATATTCGTTTGGTCTTCGTCTACAGACAGACTTGTTGCAGTGGTAAATGAACCCATTTTTACGGATTTATCCATTCAAACTAGTTAACAGTTAATATTTTCAACGTTCTGTCCCGTGACCATGAACGCTGGAAAGGGTTCGAAATGTTTGGAACTAGAATAAAAATAGTTCCATTTAGCTATGTGTAATCTCGTAAACACGAGAAATTATTGCAGTTGTGGTGGCAAATTTCAAGGATTGATTAGTAAATTAAAAAGATGTTGTGAATTTGTGATAAATGAATTTTACTGTCGCGAAGGGGATATGTACGTAATTACTTGTTTGCCTGGTAGATGTTTTGTCTCTTCCAGTCAATTTATATTATCAAACGACCGTATCGAGAGAACAAATATTTTCGTGTGTCCTCCATCATCGGACAACCCGTTCAGAAGTTACACAATCGGTAATGGTTCGTCGAAGATTATTTATCTCCCAATATTGTAAACAGTTCTTATTTTTCTTTTTTTACGTTATGGACAATTTGTATACAGATATTAAAAAACACATGTTTATGCCGAACAAAATGCGGCTATTATTTATTTAATGTATTTAAAGCTAATCTTGACCGGAAAGTTATGAAGTCCTTTGAGAAGATTCAATCTTTGTACATTTTTAGAAATTTCGGACACATTTTTTACACAACATTCTCTAGTCCCAAACTAAGCAACGCTTGTACAATGGGTACTTGAAAACTGATAAACATACTTAAACATACTTTTCTTTTGTAAATAAATACATATTATCGATATGAAAACATCCAGACACTGGAAAACACTATGTTCATCACACAATATTTTTCCAGTAGTAGTCTAAAGTTTTTAAAATGTATAATATTTGCTTCTATATGATTTTTGTATATGGTCAGGAAATGTAAAAAAGTAGCCATGTTCCGGCGTATGCCTGAGTAATTAATTAAAAACTGAAAACTTGTCGCTTCACGCCACTGTGATGCGAACTGAGCAAAATCGCGAATCTATCTATATGTCCCATATCCCAATCTTATAAGAAATGGTCCAGTGAAGGACCATTTCTTATAATTATTTACATGTATCATTCAAAAATACAAATTCACTCTTATTAAGGAAACTTTGCTTGTAAAACTAGTTCGTACCCGAAATATGGTTTAGGCTAAAAATTATTAACTTTTACTTAAACTACAGCAAGAAAGGGGATACATATTTAAACCTTAGCTAATACATACTTAATCATAATTATATACTATCACTGACTACAAGTCTCTTATCTGTAAATAAGTCATTAGACATGACTCCAAAGACAGGAACGCTCGAACAAACGAGTTGTAAATTGTTTTTTTTTTAATATAAAATAGAAGCTACACACAATTTAATACAACTCATTTCCATCAAAGGGCCTACTGTTTTGTTCATATAAATTTAATGGAGAACCGATGATTATCCTTGTACCATGGAAATTTATTTAAACTGTTTATTGCTTATGTTTAAATGAATATGTTACCGATATTTGAATAAAACCCATAATTATGTTGAATGACAACTGCTCAAAACCACATTCCACAGTGGTCTAAATCATTGCAAACATATTTTCGAATTTTTCGTTGTTTTTTATCCCCGATTAGAATTCACTGACTGCCTACATTTTGCTTGCGGCGCTTCCCACCGAAGAGCAGACACTTTAATTAATCATAGCGTATTACACTAAATCCGTTTGACACTAACAAGACCATTCAGAGAATGGTTTTAAACCATAGGACTATTACCAAATAAAATAATTTATAATATAATATTATACAGATTCAGATTCAGTCTATTTAAATTTTAAATCCCTCACGTTTCGAATAATTTAAAGCATTCATGAACATGGGACGGACAAAAAATTCGATGTCCTGATGTCACTATTAAGCCAAGCTACCGTCAACTGGAAATTTATCTTAAAGTAATGTAGTGGAGATCTGCTTTGTTTTTATTGTTACCGGAAACTATGCAGATGTTAAAACCTAACTCAATTGAAATTTAGATGTTTCTTTAGTCGAATAAGTCGTCAATCATCAATGGCGGGTAAAGGCAAAGTTTTATGATCAATCAAATACTATAATACCAAATACGCCCGGGAAATACCGCGGCCTTAGAGGTCCGGCGTGAAGTGAAAGTACTATTCTTTTGCACTTCGTCTGATATGTGAGGTAGCTGGAGCCGTTTTCAAATTTACTTAGTATATCGCAGTGGTAATCACATCAAGCGAACTTACAAACTTAACATTAAGCCAACCGGCTGCTAACTGAATCCTAACGTTTCACATAAAATACTTACCCACGTTTGGCTAATTTAGATTACGTAATTAATTATAAGAAGAAGTAAGTGGAGTAAGGCAGTTAATTAATTGCAAAATTTATACAATTGAACTTTAAATTTTATTAGTCTAGAATTTTTATTTACTCAGACTAATCCCAAATGTTTCTTCTTAATGTGGGGATTTATATTTATATTCAGTTATATAATGATGGTTTAGTGATATTTAAGCTAATGAAAACATAAGTAGACACAAAAGCTAGTAGCAAAATGAAACCATTCATTATATCACGTTTATTTGTGTTGGCAACATTCAATAGCTGGTTATTTAATAGTCGATGAATAGTTCAAAAGAGGCAATAAATTATGGATTACCTATAAACATCAGCTCATTCCCATCTACAGCTATAGCAAAAGGTGATTTGATTATTTGTATTAATAGAGAAACTAGTTGTGTTATGTTTCAAGCTATTATATTAACCCTTTTTTGGGGGTGCAGTTAGTTTACACAAGTGGTAATATCTCGAATCAAAACAGTGCCTTTCCCTTGAAAAAAAATTAAATGACGGAAGCCTGCACACCAATGGAATTTGAAGTCGCTACCTAAATTGTGCCACCAAGTGCAAGGTTATTTTTTTATACTCTATTTAACTGAAATTGTGTCGATCGCCCAAGCCATGAACAAACTTCCGTTCATATTATGATTGGGCTTTTTCTGCATCTACGAGCTATTTATTGCCTGCAAAAGGTCAAATGTGAAATAAGATACTTACTTAAAAAGAATTACAAGGCAAAAAAAAACATTGATAGGAAATAACTAACTCTGTTTTTACCACGTCTATTTTTGGATCAATCAAGTTTGTTGCATTGACCATTGCGACATTAAAATATTGATCAAAATAAAAATAAAACATAAGTCCAAAAAAAAAATATATTGACTCTCGTCTCGATTCTTTGAGTTAGCTAAAGTTAGGTCATTTTTTGAACTTTTCTTAAGATATAAACACAATCGCGGATATTAAAATAATTTTTTATCAATTACGTCATTATAGGAGAGAAAACAATGAAAAACGTGTTGTCTTTCAAATACAAAATTTGTTGTTGCCTAATTTATTCGAGGAGAAAAAAACCGAGGTAGACAAAGAATATTTAGATTGTCTTGAGATTGAATATTTAGGTTTAGATGGTCACTAAGGTAAGAAAAAAGAGTAAAATAAAAGCCTGCTTATTTTCCACTGCAGGAAAGGGGTATAAGTGCATGCGTCCACCACGCGACCCTACTACTGATGGGCGGACTTTATACATCATCTTAATATTTTTTTAACACTTTAAAAATAAAAAATAATCAAATAATAATTTCATGGGTGTAAGCGTTTGGACTTGCTCCAGGTTGCTCGAGTAAATTAACAGCGAACGCCCGAACACTGAGCTATCACAACTCTCATTATAAAATTTGAAAATATAATTTCTGTTATAATTTTTCAACTTGTGAAAGTTTAACAATCTGAGACTTTAAACTGCTTAAATGTGTTAAAATAACCACAAACGATTCCTCAAATGTCTCGAAAGAAAAATTAAAATAACATAACGGGTAATTTTCAGGAAAACATTCTTTATAAAGCATGATATTTCTGTGTATTTATTTTAAGCAATATATTTCATGCAAATGACTAGACATTTTTATGTTATATTTTATGTAAGTAAAATATATTTTGCCTACAAACACATTATTAATATACCTCTAAACATGTAAAAGATGTTTATCTTCGTTGCTATTCTTTGCACTTAGATGAAATAAAAAACTTATAGAAAAATGTATAAACAGTTTTCGCTGCGAGAATTTAGTGCCTGTGACCTCCGGGATACGCGCCCGATGCTCTAGCCGCTGAGCTATATGGCTTATCTTCACGCCAACGAAAATCTTAACGTTATTTATCTAATTTGTCTTTTATCACTTTTTAAGCAATGTTTGGTATCATCTAGTGTGTTTCATTTCCAGCCAACGATCACTTCTTCATGTTACATTTTACACTGGTATATTTGAAAACAAGAGATGACATCTTTGCTATTAACATTTTTAAAAGAATATAAATTTTTATGGTGCTATTCTCAGCATAAGAGTTTTTGTCCATTTCTCTACAAAATATTAAATGTAGTCTTACATAAAAATTACTTATAATGATCACAAACTTAATCCATCACCGCTTCTCAGCAGTGAAGGTGCGTGCCTTTCTTTTATGCTTGTTCTTCTTGTAGCATATCTCAACGATCCAGAATATAATTACAATTGCAAAACAAGATGTTAGTATATAAATGGCAGTCGGATAACTGTCGGTCAAATCACGAACGGCACCTGGAAATGAAAAAGGAGGAGTTTTGAACTTTAACAAATCCGAATTATTCTTAAGTGTGTTAGAATGTAAAATCTCGCTCGACCAAACTGCTTTTCCGAAATTTCATTTATATGTAAAATCTTGAATGAAAATATTTTTATTCATTTTGACAAATAATGTTTAAATAATTGTGAACATGTCAACGCTTATCATGCTGATATAAGCCGTTAGCACGATATGAATGATTACCGTATATTTGTTCTACATTAAAACGGAGAATCTCAACGATTAATTAAACAGCCGCTCAGACAGAATCAAATATTACACACTTACGTCAAAAATCTTAAGCCAGGAAAAATATTTGCTTTATACTCGTGTATAATTATTTAGTTATTCTTTTGCATTACTTATGATGAAAAATTTGTGTTTTCATAAATTGTTTCAAGTTGTTTAACATAATTTGATTTAACCCCCACATCGGGGGAGTACGATATACGTTATAGGCATATGAAGAGATATTGTTTATGCCATTTTTAAATAACTTAAATTTGTCTTTGTAGTATATAGTGACGTCATAACAACAATTGTAAAGCAAGTAACAACAGTGAAATCATAATGACTGAAACTTGTTCGATCATTGATAAATAATCGTCCTGGCTTTATGTGTAAATTTAGGGTGAAATTTTGTACGAGTGCGTATTCTGAAGATCTAAACTAAAATTTTGAATGGACATAATCCATTAGCATAGGAAAAGTTAACAATTTTATTTCAAATATTACATAATTATATTCATCCACAAGATACCTCGAATATAATTGTATTTTTTTTTAAGTTTTTGCAATACTAATATTTTGCACTGGCAATGGCGGACTTACAACGTTAGGTTTTCTCTACCAGTCAACCGACAACTAAATAGAGAAAATAAAGAGGTGTCTCTTAGTGCTATAGCTTTTGTTCAATCAGAAAACAAAACCATCATTAGGTAAGTCACGTAATTTACAACGTCAGGTCAAACGATGTGTAAATTTCCTTCACATTTTAAACGAGTAATAGTCTCGTTCTAGCACTGATGTGAATATCAAACGGAAAACAAATAGGCAAGAATTTGTAATAGCTCCAGGCGCAAATTATATCTATAATAATAGAACACCTTGATTTTAAGTGGAGAACAATTTTAAATAATCATTACACTCAGTCAAGTTAATGTACCTTAAATGTGTCAGTACTGGTAGGACCTCAAGAGTTATAATGTGTTTAACGATGTTCTATATTCAAATAAACGACTTAACGAAATATTTTGTTTCCACCACTACAATAAAATTACAGTACGGAAAAAATGAGAAAATGCAGTACAAACTTTGACGGATATAAAATTGGTAGTGTGATTGCCAATCTAGCTGTGTCCATTGAGGCAATTTATCTTTGTTCAACACTAAGTTAATTGCGATATTGCGCTGCGTAGCTCACAAGGGGTATACAATATAAATCTGTCTTCCCATCAGATTTACATAACTATACACAATTTTAGTAAATACCAACCAGTTGAACCTTAAGAAATCTTCGCACAGTACAGTAAATCTTAGTCACGGAATGGAAATAATGTATAACTAATGTATTATTTATCAATAAAAGGAATTTTATTTTGCAGAATAAAGTCAATAAATAAAAATAATATAAATAAAGTCAAGAAAATAATTAGTCTACTTCGCAATCTGCCATTTAAACAAATTTTAATAGTAATATATTTTAGTAATAATATTTATTCATTATAAATAATTTAAGATAACTTTATTCTTTATTTTTCGTCAGTAGTGGCAGATATGTATATGTTTCAAAATGTTTGGATCATTAAGTTTGATGAAAGATTATGGAAAAAATTGTTGCGACAAAAAAATAACCTTCAAGAACTATACTAACAAATCAAATGGATGAATGGATGAGTGGTAGTTGCCAGTATTTTCAATGAACAATTAAATACATTCACACAAGGCTATGAGAATATTTCGCTACTATAATATAAGCGTTTTAAACAATTTAAAGTTTTACAAAAATAGGGTCATTGATATCACAAAACGGTTCCCTAGGCGCTACTGTGAGGATTGTTTCATTGATATGTATTATATGTGTATAATTGGTAAAAAGAAGAAGGTTCGAAAATATCTTACCTATTACCGGTCCCAAAAGTAAATTAATTAACCCATACACCATCATGAATATGCCCATGGCTGATGTGAACTGTTCAGGTTGCACAGCCTCTGCTATCACCAAAGGCATCAGCATGAAAATAATGCATCGAGCCGAACCCAAAACCGTCAGGAAACTGAGAATCACTGTAAAGTTTTCTGACCCCAGCATACCTGAAACGTAAAATATAACTTGTCAATGTTTGTAACCAAACTGTTTCTCTGATTAAGATTGTTCGATGTGATTAGACAATTTTTATAACTGACAGATACTGAGAAAATTTATTCTGATCATTAGCAAGTTGAAGAGAGTTAATAAGTTTTAATATTTCAAAAATACAATAAGCTGTGGTGATTTCAATCCGCGACTTATTGTCTTATTGTTTAATTAATACGACAACATATGTCCCAAATTTATTATAGCTGTAATGGTTAAAGTCAGTTTTGTTATTTATAATATCCCTATCTAAAACCTTGTGGTACTTATCATAAGAACGAACTCATCATCATCTTCATCATCCTCCTACCCTTATCCCACCTAGGAAGGGTCGAAGTCGGAGGGGACATGTGAATCATATTATAAGTGGTGTAAGTTGACGATGCATTTTACGCATGGCCCCGCCTGCCTGATGATGCTAACCCACCTTGGGAAACAAACACCCAGATTCGAAACAATAATCTGAGGGTCACAAATACTTGTCCCGTGTGGGAATCGAACCCGCCGAACCGACGCCGAAGCCAATGGCTTAGCAACGGCGCCACCGAGTCATCATTATCATCATCAGAACGGACTATCACTATCTTTGGGTTTTTTCTAACAACAGAAGAATTATAAAGATCAGAAAATAGATTTTTAAATATTAAGCTCCCGCCAGTTTATTTTGTTAATCTCCTTCGACACCCATTGAACAAGAAAATACAAACAGTTATCTGTATTTCATAAATCATACAGACTTCCAAAGTAAGATTCATATGCCTTGATAAAAGACTAAACATTATATACATTAATATTTTCAACATTTTGAAGACTGTAATAATATTCCAAATCATTGTTAATGCAATTGCTAACTTAAAATTAGTTGTGTGAGTTAAAGATATAAATAAAATAATAAACCATACCTATTCGCCCTATAACGGCCACGAATAATCCAACGATGTAAATATATTGAGTTTCAAACCTCGATAATAATGAGTTAAGGAATATGAACAATATTCTGGTTACAAGATCACCTAAGTTATTCAATGAAATAGCCGAAGCCACATCACTCTGAAATAAATTTTAAGTACCATTAGTATAAGAAATGAGTTCTTATTAAAAAGAGCAAATAGTAATTAACCTACCTCAGACCATTTCATTGCATATAAAGTTTGTGGCAGAATTAAAGAAAATGTTAGATCTGCGAATGAACACAGTGCCATGCCTAGAGCGGCGTTCGTCAGTAAAAACGATCGCATAAGGGATAAATCGACAGCTTCAAAAATTATTTCCCTGTAACCATAATTTAAAAATCATTAAGTTGTTTATTTGAATATAGACCTTAAGCATGAACATAGACAAGGTAGGATTGCTTACTTAATAGTTCTTTTCTCTACTCGTTCTGAATCTAATTCTAAATCTTTTTCCCCATTCTTCCCTGTGTACTTATTGCTTTCTATTTCTTTATCAGACAATTTCACTATGTGTTCATCCGGACTACTTTTATTTTCAACCATGAGTAATATGGTTTCTGTAAAAAAGTATTAGGTGGACCTTATCCAATAACATAATTTGAGTTTACTTAAAACGATGAACAATATGTCATTGCTTTCACCAAATTAAAATTTAACATTTATTTTTGTTGGTTTTCATTGAAAAAAAAAAAAACATGAACAAACTTTTCATCAGAAATGAGGAGATCCGTAGAAGAACTAGAGTTACCGACATAGCAGAGCAATGGGGGAGGCCTATGTTCAGCAGTGGACGTCCTACGGCTGATATGATGATGAACTTTTCATAAAGTTTAAAATAAAATTCCATTTTTTCTATGTTAATAGCTTTCAATGTGAATATATATCAGCACAATCTTTTAGAGAACGTTCCTTAGAAAGAATTACCTTTTCATTATTATAAATTAATTTACTTACCGTTTTCTTCCAAGTTTTGCACTTCGACTCTTTTTAAATGCCAGTCCACTGGTTGCATTAGTATCACAGAAACAAACGTATGCATATTAATAGCCGCTAAAAAAAATAATGTCCCTCGAAAGCCATAATTTTCTATGATAATGTTAACCAGCTGAGGTGAGAATAATGCCACAGAAGCTGAAATAAGTAATTTAGTATTGATAAATTTAAAATATTATCCGACAATATAAACACATAATGTTTTGCCAGTGATTGATTAAGACGGCGTTAGTTAGTACGACAAGCACTGGCCTACTCGAATTATATATATAAGATTAGTCATAAACTAATCTTTGTATATATAATTCTTCTGTAGGTGTGTATGTCACTAAACTCCTCCTAAACGGCTGGACCGATTTTAATGAAATTGAAAATGGTTTAGATTCACAATTCGGTCCACTACAATTATTTTTTTATTTCTAAGTTGTCGAATTCAAGTCGCGTGTACAGGACGTCTGTCCGGTCCGCTAGTTGAAAAAGAAAACATGAAGATAAAATAATATAATTCGTTGCAATAATTTCACATAAGGTTTTAGTTTTACACTTTTATTTGGAAACAAGTAAAACCTAATGGTTGCATATCGGTTGTCGAAACATTTAAAAAAAAGTAAAATTATTTTTTTTATTACTTTTAAACTTTGGTCTTTAAGAAAATTGTTAATTGAACGAAAGGAAAACTTGAAATAGAGGAAAAATGTTATAAACACAATTTGTTTTTTCATTAATACAATCCTTACCTGCAACGCTTTGTACCAAACTTATCGTCAATAATCGACGTTTCACAAAATAATCGTTTATTATTGAAAACGATATATTATAAAGGGCACCAACTCCAAGACTCTGAGAAAATATTTACGTTTATAAATTTCGATTGGACATTAGTAAATATTAAAATTCTATCAACCATTTACCTGAAAAATACCTTGGCAAAGGAAGAAAACTGGTATGGAATTAACAAAGACGAGTCCAATAGAGCCTAAATTAAATACAATAACAGCAAGCAGTCCAAGTTGCCTCATACTTATAAATTTTAGCAACGGTCCGGTCACGAACCCTGTAAATAAAATAAATACTTATTTCATGAGAGATATAGTTGGTTCACTTAATAGTAAGCTATTAAGTTATAAACACTAAAACACTTCAACTTTGACATTGTATCCTGGCCGAGGCTAACATTGTATGAGGCCGTGATACTTTCCAGTTGCGGTGTTCTATCGCAGACATTAATAAGTTCATGTTTCGTGTTCATATCCATGTTTGGGTGGTGTTGGTTTGATTTTCAAGAGTTGACTGGAATAACCTTCCTTTGGCTAAATTAATGACGTTATAATGACGGTACTGCCATCCACTGTGAAAAATCTTGGTGTCCAATTTGACTTGAATCAAGTGAAGCCGAAAATTCAATAATACAAAGGATTTCTCCGCTTTATTAAGAAGTATCTTCGTGATATTCGATACGAAACCATTATAGCGACATTATAACGAATAACTGTAAAATTTAATTTACTTTGCATCGTAAACTAAAGACTAAATAGTATTAAAAAAATGGGTCCTGCTGAGTTTAATAGTATCCTACTATTATTATACTATTTATTTTATGAATTTGCATTAATTAATTGAAAATTTGTAATAAATACGCCTTAATGATATCGTTACGATTTTATAACTACTTAATTCTATCAATTAATTAAATAAGATGTTTTACAGGCCTGAACTTTACTAAAAATTTCAAGTAATTCAAACACAAAGAGCCAGTATCTACTCTATCATATTATTTTTTTAAGACAGTTGACTTTATAACAGAGTTGTCAACTTAGTAAGGTGTATCTTTCAGAAGTATGCGGCACCAGCTTCATAGTGTTACTGCGGCAACTAATAGCAACTTTTTGTCGACCCGGTTGAGGAAAGGGACTTAACTACGTCGGACCAACCGTCAGGGGTCCCGCGCGATAACATTACACACACAGCTAGTGCAACCACGAACACCATAGTTCGTCCTCACCTGCGAGCACATCGAAACCAACTCAATGCTTACACTAGGTACACCCAGTTACCAGGGCATTTCTCACCGGCCCCAGCAACCGATTAATAAAGAACATTTAAATTTGTAGACAAAAGGAACGAAAAGTTTCTCGCCGCTGTGGGAATCGAACCCACTTCTTCGGGATTCATGCTCTGACGCTCTAGCCACTAAGCTAAGCGGCTGATTGCCACACCGACGAAATTCTCAACGTCCTTTATCTACATTTTTTTAGCATTTGAAGCATATCCTTTCCAGCATACAGTTTTTCTAATGTTTAATTCAAGGTCAGAGATAAGCACTATAAAAATTAAAATTTCTAATCAAGAACAGTCAAAAGCAATCAGGGTCATGGTTCGTATCGATGGCCCGTAGGCAACACTCCTACCCTTATTAACGTTTGTTATTCATCATCATCAGCATCATTTCAGACGGTTTGATTCCACTTCTGAACAAAGGCCTCCCTCAAAGACTGCCACAACTGCCACTGTGACATTTGCAAATTTTTAGTTATTTTTATTTTTATTTTACTATGCTAAAAAGTATAACTTCTTACTTGCACGAATAAGTACACAAAGACACGTATTTTTGGTATCGGGAAATATCAAATAAACCCTGTTTTCTAAAATATTAGGAACGTATTTAAATTTGTCTTCTTAATTTTTTTCAGCGGATGAAATGACGCTAGGAAAAACTGCTGTAGATAGAAAAAGCTTCGCTGTAGATTGGAATTCGGGATTGGATCTCTAAAACATAGTATACACGCACTCAGTAGTTCAGTATACATCCTGCTAGGTTAAGGACATTAATGCTTACCAGAAATTGCTACACACATGGCGGTCACACCATTCAACAAAGTTACGCTTGTCGATCCCATTTCTAATTGGATAAACAGGTCCTTGAATATTATTCCGAAACATCCTACGAATGATGAGGTGGCTATCTGAAATTTCATAATTACTTGAGTTTCCTACTTATGAGAAAGAGATCCTACCTTGGTAAAATAAAAAAGGATATATAAAAACATTTTTAAAAGCTTGAGTCTTAAGTTGTAAATCTCTAGAAGTAATAGGGATCTACTCTATCTTTTCGTGACAGAATTTAAAATATTTTAAGCAGTGTTTGCTTACATCATACGAAGCAATGACTAACATAGGTTGAGGCGATAGAATTTTTGGGTCCTAAAAATTATTCAAGTTGGTTGTGCGTATGAAATTTTAGGATTTCATCATTTAAAAATATGTATATAGGTATTAAATTGTCATCAAAATTATTCTACTGTTAGTCTATTAATCAATTATGCCCCGGGGCCCAAACATGGGAAAATTTTGCATTTTTTCCTAAATAAACAAATACGCAATAACACAAGTTGTACACACATAAAGATTTAGTTGCGTCACAGTGCTTCATTGAATTTGGCTTACCACTAACGATAATTTACTCGTTAATAGAGATATCCGATAGTTTAGAGCTTCTTGAGGAAATGATTACAATGAAATCAAAATAAATGGCAACAGTATGTTTGTATGATATTATTAGTTTATATAATTGAAGCTATTTAAGGATTGGTAAAAAGGTGGATTAGGTCAAGTGGTAACTAATTCAAAATGGATGAAACAGATGAAAATAAATCTAGTAAATTAAAATCCATTTCAACCTATATTTATCGTACGACTATTTATATCTTAAGCAATATTATATCATGTTTCATAGCAAATTGAACTATTTTAATTATTTGGCATCATATTTCTCCCTTTCACATACTAAAATAGAAACTTGTAATTCCTCTGGGCCGAAGAATCCTCTTAGGACAGTCATCTTATTTATAAAATACAATATTTTCTCAACGTGACAGCTATCATAGTTTTTGTTAATCATATGGCAGTTCGATTAAGCATCATCTAAAATAACATTAAAACTGTTTATTTAAATTAAAAATGTTCATGCACGATATATGGCGCTGCTAGTAAACAGATTACGAAGTTTCGATACTAATATGCACACAATATTTTTTTAAATATCCCTGCTTACTTTCACTCATTTTGCTCATCACCGATATTTACTTACCAAGTTAATTATGACCGCAATCCAAATAACATAACCCCAACCTCCGTCCGGTGCCACAAATTGATAATTCTTAATTTTCACACCCTCTTTGACACTCATTTTGCATAATTGCAGAATCTGAATGAACGCTTGAGTTAAATACAACCTCTTGCTACTTTATCTTACGTCAACATAGGATTTTAACTTGTGTACGATGGGATTTTCGAAGGCACACATAATAAAGCTAAGTACGTGAAATGACTGTAATTCTTCTGATTAGAGTAATTTTATTTAAAAAAAAATGTTTAAAAAGGTTATGTATTCTGTACTACTGCAATCGCGGTATAGACTGATGTTTGCGTCTGGAAGATATATTTCACGTAGCCTAACGTCGGGCTTCCCATTTTTTTATAGTCGTAGTAGTTAGGTTAGATTATAGAACAAACTGATGGTAGCACCGAACCATCGTCTGAAATTACAGCGTAGTTTATTTCAATACCTTACCAATCACTCTTGCTTGTTAACGGTGTTCTATTATGAACATTTGACCATTATCCATATTAATAGTTGCAGCGGTCTTGTAGTCACTTTTATAGATTTATGAGAGAGATGTGGCGTTTGACAAATGATGATTACTAATTGAACTTCTTTGGTCATTAAGATGTTAATAGATTCAGTCTTATTGGCGTAATCAATCTTAACAGACATAAACCCGGACTTACTCAACTATCTTCAGTCGGTCACTATATATTTATTAGTGTTAATACTAATACTTGCTATAGCTGAGTATTCCATTTGGACTTCGAATAACGATAACGTAGCCAGCTGCGAAGTATAGTGATGAGTCGTCACTAAAACATTAAAAAAAATGTCATCTAAATAAACTACAAACTTAAAATTAAATACAAGAGTCGACCGCAGACGTGGGTCATAGCGTAGGCGCAGCCTTTAATCTGTCAAAACAAACTTTCTTTTAATCAACATTAACACGAACTGTTTTCAAAAGTTTTGTATTTAGCAGCAATATTGCAATATTCCAATATAAACAAACACACGCTTCACCGCATGTTTATTGTACAAATTTATTTTAATCTTGAATGAATGAATTGTAATCTTGAATTCACTAACTATATTAATTAGAAAATAATACATAACGGGAGTCTAGTCTATATTACTTTCATCACGTTGTAATGCCTCGATATTCATATTCTAAAAAAATGAAGATGTTTAAACTAATGTTTGCGCTTAGGCGGACGAAGATTATAAGGGAGGTCTTCGTAGTTTTAAGAATATGGATATCTAATGATATCAAGAAAGAAAGGAGAACAATTAGGTACATGATGAGTTATGTAGAGAGGAAGTATGCTTAGATTAGGCGAAGAAACAATAGATTGCAATTTTATTATGCGGTTATTGTTTTTTAATAATCAGATGTTAAATCACTCATTATAACGACATGTGTACAGATAGGACGATATTCAACATAAAGTTTTCCAAGGGAATCAAACTAAATAATAGTAAGGTTTGGACAGTATAATACAACAAGCAAAAGTTTAGTAAAATTAATGGAAATTTCCAGGAGTATTAATTCAGCCGATTCATAGTGTATAATTCAGAGTAACAAGCAAAATCAAGCAAAAGGATCATGATAGTAAATGTAAAATATTTTTTAATTACTTATTAACTTATTAATAACAAGGTGGGCATCAAAGTATCTAAGTGACGGAATGTAACAGAATTTTAATGTATTGTGTGTTTTGAGTATGTTGTTTCTGTGTTAAAAATACAATAAGTTTATTAACAATACCGAGACATGATTGGAACAGATGTGATTAAATTTCAAAATGTAAAAAAAAGCAAATAGAAAATTAAAAGCTCGTACTGATAACAGAATTCTTTATTTTACGTTGAATTACTATTTGCGAGTACGCGTTTTCTTCAGACCCTTGACAGTGTTCATATGGTTGGATTTTCCAGGATTTGAGAACTATCTTCATTAGAGGAGACACTCAGATATTGAGCCATATATTAAAATAAGTCATCGATTCTATTTTACGCCGTAATTTACTTAAAAATGATTTCTATTTTTACTTCATTTTTCCACCATCATTTCATTCCGAAGTGATGTCGAGCAGCTGTGAATATGTGGTGTCTAGATTTTGTTAGAAACTCCGATTTTGTTATGACGCTGCCTTTAAGGCCGCTATTGTTGTCCCACACTAGCTGCCTATCTACTGTTTTATAAAATCTCACAAGTACAGGACGTGGTTTGGCTCATCATAGTGAACCCAATCTGTAGAAATATCTGTAGAGTATCTTTATGCCTTCATGTAAATCAACCATCTTTAATTAATCAAATACCACTTTATGTATTATATTATGATGCAGATTTTCATGCTGAGATTCATTCACACTGTGAAATAGAAGCACTTTACTTCTCATGGCTGTCTCATGCTTATCTAAGGGCATCTCAATGTGATATTTTAATATAAAACGTGTCTGCCACACAAATTATTTAAATTCTAAGTTGCTTGTCTCAGTTTGTATGTATTTTTCTGTCGGATTCGCCTGTAAAAGAAGATTCTTAGCTTTGGCTTTATAGATTCCTCCAAGCTCCATGCTTTATAGATTTACCAGTGTTACATGTCATGTTTGTCGGACACACCATCCACAAACGTTGTGTTAAGTATTTTTCGTATTTGTTCGACATGCTATCCACAATATACGTACTGAATACTACATTTCAGCCCACTAAACTATGGCTGCAATTTTTTGATATGCCGTCCAATCAGCCACTGTCTTACTGATCGATACGCGAAATGTGATCAGCACGCGTCTCAAATTTGTTATCTTTGATTCGTCTGTAATAGACGAATCAAAGATAAGAAAATTTCAAGAGATGAACTGGCACATATGCAACGAGGTAGCGAATTCCATAGCTTAACCGCCTTCACCGGTGTCGTTGAAGATGTACTTCATGTAGTGACAGAATGCGAGCGCAATCAAGATCTCCGAATGTCTTAGATGGGTTCCCGAAATTTTAATGTTGGCTTTGTGACCAATATCCTGGCTTTTCCGATTTCATATCAAGCTCGGATAGTGGCCAGGTTTGTCGAACTTAGTTTAAGAAAAACTTAATTTGTAACAGTGGTTGTGTTGTTGTTTGTGGTAATGTTGTGTTGATATTATATTATTTTTTGTTTACCTTACAGGAACATAACAACATCTAATAAATTAAAAAAGCGCCTTTACAGTGAAAGATTCGCTATACCGACAAGATGAATGAAAAGGAATTTTGAGAAGAAGTGACTTATTATATCGGCATTGAGTTCTGGGTGGAACAAGGTACTCAAAGTGTTCCCGAAGATACGAAGGAGCATGCGCATAAACAGTAAAAAGAACAGGAAAGAAAGGATATTTATGATCTACGGATCTTGACGTCAACTCAGAAATACGATCAAATTCACGGAGGCCAAAGATGAATAATATGCACATAATCTTAAGGCGTTCCAACTTGTTTAATTGTTCCTCCGTAGCGTCAAGGAATGAAACATCAGCATAAATAATTATAGGTAGGAGAAGTGTATGGGCTAAAGTAATCTACGTTTTTAAAGGCAAAAGAACTGACCCCATTTGAGGTATTAAAAATAATAGTTAAACTTTTTACTTATAGGATTAATGTGAGACATCCATGACAAGTGAGTATCAAAGACAACCCCAATTAAACCAGAGATTACTGAGTCAGAAACATTTAAAGATGAAAGAATTCCCAATAGTACATCATGATCCTCAGAATTAAATGCACTGCTGAAGTCCAACAGAGTTAAAACTGTGAGACATTTAACTTCCATGGCCTCCTATATATGATCGGACACTTTAACCAATTCCTGACTGTGCTGTGGCCAGGACGAAAACCGGATTGAAAAGGACTTAACAGGCTATGAGAAAATAGGAAATGAGAAAGTTGTTTTTACAATATTCTCTCTAAGACTTTGAACAACATAGGAAGAATAGAGATAGGGCGGAACTGAGATACAGTTTCCTTCTACTGATTTGCGTTAAAATCTCCAATTAACATGCACTGTGTTTCGGAGCGATGTACGGGTCACTATAGATCCTCTTACATTGCCACAACCTCAACATTTGCGTGTGTCAACGTTGGCGATCTATATGACATTCAATGAATATCGTTTGAATATTCTAAGTATAAGATACGCAACCGTCGATGATGCGCCCTCGGTATTCAGAACGTTGTTAATAAAAATTTTTAGTTCAACACCTCCATGGAGCAGTTAGTCACCACCCTGTTGGCATAATAGGCTTCCGGAGTCGAGGATTATCATGTCTTCGTCTTCGTTGGTAACCGAATCCCAGAGATTCTTGGTATGCCAAAGACCACTACCATAGCCAGGAATAGCAGGGTGGCCGGAGATTGGAGCTGCACACCTTGGACTAATCATGATAAGGGTTTTGACATAGTCTGTTTGTTTGTTTGTATATTCTTTATTGTACTAAAAGTTTGTATAAAGGCGAAATTAATCCTAAATAGCATTTTCTTGCAGTTTGGTGGTTGAGATAAAGTTACGGTTAGTAACGCTAAAATGACATACAAGGTTTTCAATGTCAATCACAAAGAATATGGGAAAACTAAATACCTACTTGACATAGATGTCACTAATACCTAAATATACTTCAACATAACAATAATTGTCCGTATTTATGCAAAAAGGAACCACCCAGCAAAAACGCACTTCTGAGATATTACAGGATTTACAAAAATATGTGCAGCTCTGTTAGATGAAACAAAATTACTATTTATTTTATTTTAATTTATTGATAAATTATGTATTTAAGTAAGTATATATAAATTTGCTCTGCACAGCCTGAAATATTCTAAATAATTAAGAAAATGTGCATGTGGTTCCTTTTAACATTTGCTGATTTATAGGTTATCTCATATACAAAAAAGAACCACAACCCAGGGATTTATTGATATAAATGAAACTATGTATTTATATTATCGTAATAAAGCTTTAATTCGCCAAAAATGTAAAATTATACGTATAGAGAGCGTTTACTCGACGTTATCATCGAATTGAACTTCGAAATCGACCGTATTC